GTCTTGAAGCTCCTTAGGACTAGCTGAGGCCCACGTAGCAGGTGGGTCCACGGCGAATGATTCTTAGAGTCCGCAAAAAGGATAAATGCGATTGCATTGCATGTACTAACGGATGCGATCATACCAGCACTAAGCACCGGATCCCCATCAGAACTCCGCAGTTAAGCGTTTGGCGAGAGTAGTACTAGGATGGGTGACCTCCCCGGAAGTCCTCGTGTTGCATCCCTTTTTTTTTTTTCTTTTTTTTTTTGCTTATGACTTATCACCTTCGGAACGCCATAACTTTAAAACCGTGAGGCCAACTCGACATGTGATACCTTTTCGGAAAGCCCAAAGAGAGCCCTTCGAGAGGGGCAATGGGCAATGGGTCTTCGTGCCATTGTTTTTTTTTTCGACACCAATTTTGACGTTTAGGGGCTTTTCCGGGCCATTTTGTCATCCGTACCATATTTCGGGACCGAAATCGATTTTTCAGACATTGTTTGCGCATATTTTCCTTGTCTTGAAGCTCCTTAGGACTAGCTGATGTGGCCCACGTAGCAGGTGGGACCCACGGCGAATGATTCTTAGAGTCCGCAAAAAGGATAAATGCGATTGCATTGCATGTACTAACGGATGCGATCATACCAGCACTAATGCACCGATCCCATCAGAACTCCGCAGTTAAGCGTGCTTGGGCGAGAGTAGTACTAGGATGGGTGACCTCCCGGGAAGTCCTCGTGTTGCATCCCTTTTTTTTTTTCTTTTTTTTTTTTGCTTATGACTTATCACCTTCGGAACGCCATAACTTTAAAACCGTGAGGCCAACTCGACATGTGATACCTTTTCGGAAAGCCCAAAGAGAGCCCTTCGAGAGGGGCAATGGGCAATGGTCTTTCGTGCCATTGTTTTTTTTCGACACCAAATTTTGATGTTTAGGGCTTTTCCGGGCCATTTTGTCATCCGTACCATATTTCGGAACCGAAATCGATTTTTCAGACATTGTTTGCGCATATTTTCCTTGTCTTGAAGCTCCTTAGGACTAGCAGTGAGGCCCACGTAGCAGGGGGGACCCACGGCGAATGATTCTTAGAGTCCGCAAAAAGGATAATGCGATTGCATTGCATGTACTAACGGATGCGATCATACCAGCACTAATGCACCGGATCCCATCAGAACTCGCAGTTAAGCGTCCTTGGGCGAGAGTAGTACTAGGATGGGTGACCTCCCGGGAAGTCCTCGTGTTGCATCCCTTTTTTTTTTTCTTTTTTTTTTTTGCTTATGACTTATCACCTTCGGAACGCCATAACTTAAAACCGTGAGGCCAAACTCGACATGTGATACCTTCGAAGCCCAAAGAGAGCCCTTCGAGAGGGCAATGGCAATGGGTCTCGTGCCATTGTTTTTTTTTCGACACCAAATTTTGACGTTTAGGGGCTTTTCCGGGCCATTTTGTCATCCTACCATATTTCGGACCGAAATCGATTTTTCAGACATTGTTTGCGCATATTTTCCTTGTCTTGAAGCTCCTTAGGACTAGCTGATGTGGCCCACGTAGCAGGTGGGACCCACGGCGAATGATTCTTAGAGTCCGCAAAAAGGATAAATGCGATTGCATTGCATGTACTGACGGATGCGATCATACCAGCACTAATGCACCGGATCCCATCAGAACTCCGCATTAAGCGTGCTTGGGCGAGAGTAGTACTAGGATGGGTGACCTCCCGGGAAGTCCTCGTGTTGCATCCCTTTTTTTTTTTTTTTTTTTTTTTTTGCTTATGACTTTCACCTTCGGACGCCATAACGTTAAAACCGTGAGGCCAAACTCGACATTGATACCTTTTCGGAAAGCCCAAAGAGAGCCCTTCGAGAGGGGCAAGGCAATGGGTCTTCGTGCCATTGTTTTTTTTTCGACACCAAATTTTGATGTTTAGGGGCTTTTCCGGGCCATTTTGTCATCCGTACCATATTTCGGAACCGAAATCGATTTTTCAGACATTGTTTGCGCATATTTCCATGTCTTGAAGCTCTTACTAGCTGATGTGGCCCACGTAGCAGGTGGGTCCCACGGCGAATGATTCTTAGAGTCCGCAAAAAGGATAAATGCCCATACGGAGCGACCAGCACTAATGCAGGAAGCTGCGTGCTTGGGCGAGAGTAGTACTAGGATGGGTGACCTCCCGGGAAGTCCTCGTGTTGCATCCCTTTTTTTTTTCTTTTTTTTTTTTGCTTATGACTTATCACCTTCGGAACGCCATAACTTTAAAACCGTGAGGCCAAACTCGACATGTGATACCTTTTCGGAAAGCCCAAAGAGAGCCCTTCGAGAGGGGCAATGGCAATGGGTCTTCGTGCCATTTTTTTTTTTTCGACACCAAATTTTGAGTTTAGGGGGCTTTTCCGGGCCATTTTGTCATCCGTACCATATTTCGGGAACCGAAATCGATTTTTCAGACATTGTTTGCGCATATTTTCCTTGTCTTGAAGCTCCTTAGGACTAGCGTGAGGCCCACGTAGCAGGTGGGTCCACGGCGAATGATTCTTAGAGTCCGCAAAAAGGATAATGCGATTGCATTGCATGTACTAACGGATGCGATCATACCAGCACTAATGCACCGGATCCCATCAGAACTCCGCAGTTAAGCGTCTTGGGCGAGAGTAGTACTAGGATGGGTGACCTCCCGGGAAGTCCTCGTGTTGCATCCCTTTTTTTTTTTTTTTTTTTTTTTTGCTTATGACTTATCACCTTCGGAACGCCATAACTTTAAAACCGTGAGGCCAAACTCGACATGTGATACCTTTTCGGAAAGCCCAAAGAGAGCCCTTCGAGAGGGGCAATGGGCAATGGGTCTTCGTGCCATTGTTTTTTTTTCGACACCAAATTTTGACGTTTAGGGGCTTTTCGGGCCATTTTGTCATCCGTACCATATTTCGGGACCGAAATCGATTTTTCAGACATTGTTTGCGCATATTTTCCTTGTCTTGAAGCTCCTTAGGACTAGCTGAGGCCCACGTAGCAGGTGGGACCCACGGCGAATGATTCTTAGAGTCCGCAAAAAGGATAAATGCGATTGCATTGCATGTACTGACGGATGCGATCATACCAGCACTAATGCACCGGATCCCATCAGAACTCCGCAGTTAAGCGTGCTTGGGCGAGAGTAGTACTAGGATGGGTGACCTCCCGGGAAGTCCTCGTGTTGCATCCCTTTTTTTTTTTTTCTTTTTTTTTTTTGCTTATGACTTATCACCTTCGGAACGCCATAACTTTAAAACCGTGAGGCCAAACTCGACATGTGATACCTTTCGGAAAGCCCAAAGAGAGCCCTTCGAGAGGGGCAATGGGCAATGGGTCTTCGTACCATTGTTTTTTTTTTCGACACCAAATTTTGATGTTTAGGGGCTTTTCCGGGCCATTTTGTCATCCGTACCATATTTCGGAACCGAAAATCGATTTTTCAGACATTGTTTGCGCATATTTTCCATGTCTTGAAGCTCCTTAGGACTAGCCGGTGAGGCCCACGTAGCAGGTGGGTCCTACGGCGAATGATTCTTAGAGTCCGCAAAAAGGATAGATGCGATTGCATTGCATGTACTAGACGGATGCGATCATACCAGCACTAATGCACCGGATCCCATCAGAACTCCGCAGTTAAGCGTGCTTGGGCGAGAGTAGTACTAGGATGGGTGACCTCCCGGGAAGTCCTCGTGTTGCATCCCTTTTTTTTTTTCTTTTTTTTTTTTTGCTTATGACTTATCACCTTCGGAACGCCATAACTTTAAAACCGTGAGGCCAAACTCGACATGTGATACCTTTTCGGAAAGCCCAAAGAGAGCCCTTCGAGAGGGGCAATGGGCAATGGGTCTTCGTGCCATTGTTTTTTTTTCGACACCAAATTTTGACGTTTAGGGGCTTTTCCGGGCCATTTTGTCATCCGTACCATATTTCGGGACCGAAATCGATTTTTCAGACATTGTTTGCGCATATTTTCCTTGTCTTGAAGCTCCTTAGGACTAGCTGATGTGGCCCACGTAGCAGGTGGGACCCTACGGCGAATGATTCTTAGAGTCCGCAAAAAGGATAGATGCGATTGCATTGCATGTACTACGGATGCGATCATACCAGCACTAATGCACCGGATCCCATCAGAACTCCGCAGTTAAGCGTGCTTGGGGCGAGAGTAGTACTAGGATGGGTGACCTCCCGGAAGTCCTCGTGTTGCATCCCTTTTTTTTTTTCTTTTTTTTTTTTGCTTATGACTTATCACCTTCGGAACGCCATAACTTTAAACCGTGAGGCCAAACTCGACATGTGATACCTTTTCGGAAAGCCCAAAGAGAGCCCTTCGAGAGGGGCAATGGGCAATGGGTCTTCGTGCCATTGTTTTTTTTTTCGACACCAAATTTTGACGTTTAGGGGCTTTTCCGGGCCATTTTGTCATCCGTACCATATTTCGGGACCGAAATCGATTTTTCAGACATTGTTTGCGCATATTTTCCTTGTCTTGAAGCTCCTTAGGACTAGCTGATGTGGCCCACGTAGCAGGTGGGTCCTACGGCGAATGATTCTTAGAGTCCGCAAAAAGGATATAATGCGATTGCATTGCATGTACTAACGGATGCGATCATACCAGCACTAATGCACCGGATCCCATCAGAACTCCGCAGTTAAGCGTGCTTGGGCGAGAGTAGTACTAGGATGGGTGACCTCCCGGGAAGTCCTCGTGTTGCATCCCTTTTTTTTTTCTTTTTTTTTTTTGCTTATGACTTATCACCTTCGGAACGCCATAACTTTAAAAACCGTGAGGCCAAACTCGACATGTGATACCTTTTCGGAAAGCCCAAAGAGAGCCCTTCGAGAGGGGCAATGGGCAATGGGTCTTCGTGCCATTGTTTTTTTTTTCGACACCAAATTTTGACGTTTAGGGGCTTTTCCGGGCCATTTTGTCATCCGTACCATATTTCGGGACCGAAAATCGATTTTTCAGACATTGTTTGCGCATATTTTCCATGTCTTGAAGCTCCTTAGGACTAGCTGGTGAGGCCCACGTAGCAGGTGGGTCCTACGGCGAATGATTCTTAGAGTCCGCAAAAAGGATAATGCGATTGCATTGCATGTACTAACGGATGCGATCATACCAGCACTAATGCAACCGGATCCCATCAGAACTCCGCAGTTAAGCGTGCTTGGGCGAGAGTAGTACTAGGATGGGTGACCTCCCGGGAAGTCCTCGTGTTGCATCCCTTTTTTTTTTTTTTTTTTTTTTTGCTTATGACTTATCACCTTCGGAACGCCATAACTTTAAAACCGTGAGGCCAAACTCGACATGTGATACCTTTTCGGAAAGCCCAAAGAGAGCCCTTCGAGAGGGGCAATGGGCAATGGGTCTTCGTGCCATTGTTTTTTTTTTCGACACCAAATTTTGACGTTTAGGGGGCTTTTCCGGGCCATTTTGTCATCCGTACCATATTTCGGGACCGAAATCGATTTTTCAGACATTGTTTGCGCATATTTTCCTTGTCTTGAAGCTCCTTAGGACTAGCTGATGTGGCCCACGTAGCAGGTGGGTACCCACGGCGAATGATTCTTAGAGTCCGCAAAAAGGATAAATGCGATTGCATTGCATGTACTGAACGGATGCGATCATACCAGCACTAATGCACCGGATCCCATCAGAACTCCGCAGTTAAGCGTGCTTGGGCGAGAGTAGTACTAGGATGGGTGACCTCCCGGGAAGTCCTCGTGTTGTCATCCCTTTTTTTTTTTCTTTTTTTTTTTTGCTTATGACTTATCACCTTCGGAACGCCATAACTTTAAAACCGTGAGGCCAAACTCGACATGTGATACCTTTTCGGAAAGCCCAAAGAGAGCCCTTCGAGAGGGGCAATGGGCAATGGGTCTTCGTACCATTGTTTTTTTTTTTCGACACCAAATTTTGATGTTTAGGGGCTTTTCCGGGCCATTTTGTCATCCGTACCATATTTCGGAACCGAAATCGATTTTTCAGACATTGTTTGCGCATATTTTCCATGTCTTGAAGCTCCTTAGGACTAGCTGGTGAGGCCCACGTAGCAGGTGGGTCCTACGGCGAATGATTCTTAGAGTCCGCAAAAAGGATAGATGCGATTGCATTGCATGTACTAACGGATGCGATCATACCAGCACTAATGCACCGGATCCCATCAGAACTCCGCAGTTAAGCGTGCTTGGGCGAGAGTAGTACTAGGATGGGTGACCTCCCGGGAAGTCCTCGTGTTGCATCCCTTTTTTTTTTTCTTTTTTTTTTTTTGCTTATGACTTATCACCTTCGGAACGCCATAACTTTAAAACCGTGAGGCCAAACTCGACATGTGATACCTTTTCGGAAAGCCCAAAGAGAGCCCTTCGAGAGGGGCAATGGGCAATGGGTCTTCGTGCCATTGTTTTTTTTTTCGACACCAAATTTTGACGTTTAGGGGCTTTTCCGGGCCATTTTGTCATCCGTACCATATTTCGGGACCGAAATCGATTTTTCAGACATTGTTTGCGCATATTTTCCATGTCTTGAAGCTCCTTAGGACTAGCTGATGTGGCCCACGTAGCAGGTGGGACCCACGGCGAATGATTCTTAGAGTCCGCAAAAAGGATAAATGCGATTGCATTGCATGTACTAACGGATGCGATCATACCAGCACTAATGCACCGGATCCCATCAGAACTCCGCAGTTAAGCGTGCTTGGGCGAGAGTAGTACTAGGATGGGTGACCTCCCGGGAAGTCCTCGTGTTGCATCCCTTTTTTTTTTTTCTTTTTTTTTTTTGCTTATGACTTATCACCTTCGGAACGCCATAACTTTAAAACCGTGAGGCCAAACTCGACATGTGATACCTTTTCGGAAAGCCCAAAGAGAGCCCTTCGAGAGGGGCAATGGGCAATGGGTCTTCGTGCCATTGTTTTTTTTTTCGACACCAAATTTTGACGTTTAGGGGCTTTTCCGGGCCATTTTGTCATCCGTACCATATTTCGGGACCGAAATCGATTTTTCAGACATTGTTTGCGCATATTTTCCATGTCTTGAAGCTCCTTAGGACTAGCTGGTGAGGCCCACGTAGCAGGTGGGTCCCACGGCGAATGATTCTTAGAGTCCGCAAAAAGGATAAATGCGATTGCATTGCATGTACTAACGGATGCGATCATACCAGCACTAATGCACCGGATCCCATCAG